CGTCGCTGTAAAAAAATAGTAAATTAAAAATAAATGATAATAGTTAAAGCCAAACTAAATATTTTCATAAAAATATAAACATTTTTGACGAAATGCTACACTGTATTGTGATTAAACAAGAATTTGTCCAACCTCACGTTACATTACGATAACATTATGATTACTTGGATGTAGGATTGTTCAAGAAAAATTTCACGATTGTAAAAAATAGACGCGACTGTGTACAAAAAACCCAGTTTCTGCAAAATTAACACACGACCCAGATCTCAGATCATCGAGAGATGAGCGTATATTTTCTGTTCACACCAATGAACTCGACGCAACCTCTCTCCTTTTATGTATGAATGTAAGAAAATGTGACCAATCTGTGGTTAAATATCACATGCGGGATTATCGTGAGACGCAAACGAGTAACATCCTCTGCATAGAAACGATCGTCGTCGAAGGAAATGAGTCATTCGCGGTGACCCAACGACAGTCCCAGATGATTCGTACGATTTTATTGAAATTTAGGAGGAAGGCATGACTACATATAAAAATAGCATATGATGACTCAAGAAACATAAGAAAATCATAAAGCGAAGAAGGAAATACAATGCAAGGGAGTGTCTAAAAAGCTTTTTCTCTCAAATATAAATTTTAAGCAAGTTTGGAGCCAATGTCTTTAATAAAAAATTAATTAAATGCAATTTTCCTGCATAAATATTTATGCAAGAATAGATTAATTTAACACATCTTGAAAAAATAAGCTTTTAATATAAAAATTCTACTTTAAGAAAGTACATTCTGATATTCGCGCCTGCAATATAGACAAAAGTCTAAAGTACGAAGAGGAAACACAAATGTGGAGTAAGGAAAGGCAGACGGAAAAAAGATGCGCAAGCGGATCTCACACGTGTTCTCTTCTGCTATCCGGTAGAGCGCTTAATTCGACGTATATGTATAGCGTGTCGGCGAAGCGTGTATGTAAAAGAGCCGAGAACACGTGTTTATTTAATCGTAACGTTATATCCGTGAAGAGACCACTTTATTTAATTCGCAATACTCTTTGAAAATCTCGAATAGACGAACGATGCCCAGAAACGAAATTTCGAAATTAGTCCCAAATTACGGCTGCACTAGCAACGAGTCGCTTTAAATAAAGGTGAAATAGAGATAGAGATATGTAAGAATTAAGGGGACATGATAAAAATGCTTAATTATCATTTAATGCTCAACAATATTAAATTGCATTACAGTTGTTAAACTAATTATTTCCACTAGTTGCATTAAACAAATGTTCAGTTCATAAAATTTTGTAAATGTGTAGATATTTTTAATTTTATAATGTATTTTATTAAAGTGGCAAATCTGTTTGAAATGACGCAAGACGTGATTGGGATGGGAGTTATTTTATCAAGCGACATACTCACTCGCTATTATATTCAAATGTTTGAACTACTGCAAAGAAATTAAGTAACTATAGAACTGTATTAAATGTGGGAGCGAAAAATAAATTGAGAATGAATTGAGGTTGGTTCGCATAGGGGCAAGATAATGAGCGAGAGAGATAAAGTTATGGCGCGTAAGGGAGAGATAAAGGGGGTAGGCAACCAGACGTATGAATGAACCACACGTGTTAGGCTTTACTTATTCAGTGCATCGTCTGATTCGACACGCATCGCTGACACATACTGCTGCTTGATGTACGTAGAATACGAAATTCTCTCGATGAAACATCATCCGCAGAGTCGTTAACTTTGTGCCCATTTCCTTTAATCAATCTCAAAAAAGGCACAAATGCCTCGAGCAAATAATAAATGCTGCTTTACGTCAAGTAAGCAACTTTCTAATAATAACATGCAACGACCGTCTATGCAAGATGCTTAAAATGACACATAATAGCCCCAAGTAAATTATCGAAAAGTCGTATCTTTTTAATCGGATGATAGCTCGTAGCTTGAAATTTAATGGTTTACAACGTAACTTAACCAATTTATGTGATAAATCACGCGTGTGCGTATTTTAAGACTTTAAATTTATTTCATAAATGTTTAGAGCATGGCTAATATAAAGCGCGAGCCAGGAATGTTTGAATATCAACAAAAATAAGCTGCAGAAACTGCTTCGAAATTCTTAAATAAGACTTTTGCAATTACTCATCAAATTAATTTCAAATTGTAAGTAGCAGTATATCCTATTTAGTGGTCTTTTAATATTTACGACAACTTTATAATCGATCAAAACTTTTTCTCCATTTGCGGACCGCGCATTCGCGTTCCCCTTTTGAGTGTATCGGATGACGCTTTCTCGCCGAGAAAAGGATTGAAGCATCTCGAGCGAATTACTTGTCATTACGCAGCATATTATATGCCATATAAGCGCCGAAGAGAGGGGCCGGCCGTACGTAAGAAGAGAGAAATGCAGATTCGAATCGCGACTCGGAGATTTCGTCATCGCGATGCACAACCGGAATACTGTACGAGTCACGGACGTACATATCTCTCGGTGCAACGTGGCATACCGATACGAGGAGACGAAAGACGCGCAGCGAGAAACCGCAGCGCGTCCGTTTGTCGTCAACAGCAAGTCAAATCACAAAGATCAAGACACAGGAAATTATATATGAGTGATCCATTAGCGCGTCATCGAGATAATTTAATCTCTATCACGATCAAGGAAAGACTTCAAGTGTCTAAAAAATAATAACACAATCCTTATTTAGTAAATTTGGTTCGTTACTTTCGTTAATGCAAAAATAATGTATATAAACATCTTTAACAAATAAATAATTATATCTGTAAAATGTAGAACCTGAATTTGAATTATAAAATTTTTTTACTTTTAATCGACAGACAAGTATAATAAGAAAGTTATTCCGTTAACGAATGAACGATGCCAAAAAAGTTTATAAAAAGATGTCAGGAGGTTATCGCAAGAAAACGTTAGAAGATTCTACACGCTTCCTCTCGGGACTTCCCATTGTACAAAAAAAGTACAATTAATATCCGTCGGGGCCACGAAATTAACCGCAACGTCAAGTTAATCTCGTTGTGACGCCCGACGACATGATTCTAACTACTTTCAAATCGTGTCGAATGTCTCACGTTTAACAAGACACTTGAAATCCTAATTAAGATAAACATTATCGTTACAGTTTTTGTTTACACGTTTTTTCTTCGTCTTATCTCATAAAATTTTCATATACGTTCAAACCGCGTGACTTTTCTTACTTTATTTAAAACAGTACTATAAAGATTGCGACAGGAAAGTTAATTTATAATTATTACCAGTTTTATTGGAATAATAAGTAAACGGCTGTCACAAGACGAAATCTCTTAGTCACTCCCAATGATTAACTCGAAACTTCGTCGTATTCCTCAAAAAAGGAGCGACTTATTTTTCTCATTGCGAAGCAAAATAACCACGAGGAATATTGATCCGTCGGTAGTATTAATTAAAAGCTAAATTATAATCTTTCCGGGTTGTATATGTACATGTATATACACATGTATATGTATGTTTATATAAAATCAAGTAGAACAGGAATAGCCGCGACAAAACTGGTTTTCGTCGATCAGTTGTTAGTATTACGTTGCTTTGATCGAGCATGATCTCTCAATTAACTCATTATATTCAAATTTAAATGCATATCCTTCCTGCTCGAGAGTGTGTTTGAACTTATTTCTAATATAGAGAGATACACGTTATAAGACATCACCTACAATTTTTCTGTTTAATATTACTTTGATAGACGCCGCTGACAACAGAATGAAGAAAATATGATGCATTCAAACGTAGACAGTGACATGCCGTCGCTTTCCAGTTTAATTCTTCATTTGGATGAAAGCGCGTTTAATTTGCGAGACGAGCAGACACGCGAAACGTCACTGCGGAACGGACTCCGTGACTCTAGGCGTAGAAAATGATATTTATTCTGCGGAGTTCTCTCGTATGAGCAGGACACGCGAGGCGGAGCTTGCTTATGCAAAGCGTTACGCTACCGGCGACGTGTGAAAGGACACGCGCGCGCGTTTAAAAGTCCTCGCCGCGTCCGAAAGGAGGATCCACGCCGGAGGAGGCACGACACAGCCCGTGCATTCAGCATTATCCCGCGACCGCACGAGCGCGAGCGCCTCTCGGTCGCGCGCTCTTTCGCTGCGTCGACACCGACACGCCTGGTGTGCGTTTAACCATCGGAGATTCGCAATCGCGCGAACCGAGCGCGAGCGGCTATTTTCCTCTCGTATGTTCTTCTCGCGGGGTGAGAGTCCTCTCAGCCCATTTGTTCACCGGATATTAAACGTCGCGTTATTGCTACGCGTGCATCAAGGAGCCTGCGAGGCGCGTGCGTGTGCCATTAGCATCGCTAATACCAATGTTGCATTTCCTTTCCCATATGAGTGCCGAGCGTATTCGCAGCGAAATCAAATTGCGCGTTTAAAGATCTTGAATAAACATTTAGCGCGTTCGGATTCTATCTCGGCGCTGCACGAGGATGACGTTTATGGCACTTGAATGCGGGAACGGTATGTTTCTTCTCAAGTAGTCAGTAATTACGGAGATAATTCGCGCATTCTTAGATTAAATGAACAAGGACAGAGGTATGTGATATGTTGAATTGGAGAAATTAAATTCATATTAAAATGTTATGACAATAGTCATAAAAAACACATAAAACGCATAGCCACTCTTCTCCGTTACAATATAAAGTGCAAGAAATTAAGCGCAAAAAATGAACTCGTTCACGCATTTTGCGCTTCATTATAATTTTTTCCCAGACAATAGCTGTCGCCAATAAGTGTTGAATTACCGCGATTAACTTGGTTGCGTAAAAGCAGTTCGGTATACGACAGAAAAAAAAGGAGAACGCGACAAACAATTCGGCTCGCCAAACAGCAGTTTTCATGGGTCGACTTTCTGCAATAAAGTGGAACGCGGATTTCGTCAGAGACACGAGAGGTACACACAATCATGTAGACGAGAAGTCAAGTACGAAGACATATAACGTTTATACTTACGCCTCGCAATATGGCTGTTTGTTGAAACCCTTGTACGTCCGCATATTCAGGGTCATACCGCAGCCCTGACACTTGAAACACTGCTTGTGCCATGTCTGTAATAAGGAAACGTTGTTATTGACATTCCACGTCGATTTGTCAGGTTCACGCAATTGCGTAACACGCGCAGCGCGGAGAAAATTGGAAAAAAATAAATAAATAAAATGCTTAATATAACGCTCGAATTTTCGAATTTCAATTGGCATAAAACCTGATCCGATTCACAATCTGATATAATGTTATGTGCAGCGTATTTCGTCATCAACCGCTTTCGGCGGTTACATCAACAAGTATTACAAAAGTGCTTCTATAAATATTAAAAGGGTCTGTTTTCTACGAATCTTATTAAGACCGAGATGTATCCTACTTAATTTTTCTAACGCATTCTTTTAGAGCTTATATGCTTATAAATTATTTACTTTCACCAGAATAATTTCATCACATAAAGTTTTATTGCACTGCACTTGCGGGAAATGAACGTCAGCGATAAGTAACGATTGGTATTATTAGCGGTGATAACATTACGGCACGACAATGATATCTTGCGTCCTTATTCGCAATGTTATGGACTGTCAATATTTCATAATAATGATATCGATATGAAAGCAATCTAATTTCTTATACAGATAATCGTATGTCATTAATGAGGCGCAATTATCACGGTTTTTCGCAATAATCTTTCTCTCTTAACGAGATATTCTTCAGTATTTATAACCGCCGAAATTAATTACAACTTTTGTGTGGAAGAGTACTTTTCTCTAAAAGAAGAAAACATAATATTAGGCTAGAAATTTAGCCATCATAGGAAGAAGTTTCAAGTCTGTTGAAAGTTTTCGCTTATTATTAATTGGCGCATATAGCAGACCGATATAGAAACGTTTAGCCAAATTATTCGTGAATTTTCAAACCATTATTAACTCTTCAGCAATAAGGCTTGACCCAAGCAAAATTTCTTTCTTGAATTTTTTCGCACAGAAGAAGGCGGCGTTTGGTACCTTCCCCCTCTAAAAAAAAGTTTATGGTAGAGAAATTTCTCGCTGCCGCGGTGACGCCGGTTCCTGTCAATGCGTGTTCGAACAACGACCCCAAACGACGAATTAGTAAAAACATGATTGCTGACGAAGGGTTAATAACCGCATACAGTAATACAAAATCGTTTCAACCAAAATAAAATAAATAAAATTGTAAATTAATAAACAAACAAAAATGAGTTATCCTATTCTGAACAAGACCAGCGACAACATTTTCAAATATTCCGTCCTACACATATGGAGAAGATAATTATTTCATTAGCTATGATGACCAATGACCTCGCAAATCACTATTAACGACTTCGCTGTTTCCCGAGAGAATCATGGATAAATAACATAACAATGTATTTCGACCTAATTCGCGGAGTTACGAGCTGATAAAAGCAAGACATACAATCGTTTAATACCCGAGATAAAATTCTCCGGACTGCTTAACGGTATTAAAAGTGCATCTATTATAACCCTTTCGAAACCCATCTCGAAAAGACTAAACTACATTTAGTTAGATTCTTGAAATAGCACTCAACCTTGTCACGTTATACCCGATATGCCATTGATAAATAAGATACATGGCTTTCACGTGGTACAGTGCAACGGGCATTAACCAAATACGTTTGCTGCAATCTAGCAGCTGTGCGTATCATCATCCTCCCATAATCTCTCCTCGCAAACATTACGAGACACGTTAAGATTCTTCAAACCGGCATGATGATGTGCGAAACGTTATTACGAAGCTTACGGTAAGATTAATACGAGTTCTCTTGATGAGTTTGCAATTTATTCCTAGATTTGGTAATATACTTCACGATAATTCCTCCAAGAAGTTGAATATCAGATATTGAACGGCAAGTACGGCGCTTATATCTTATTTATAATAATTGATATTAATGATTAAATATATTCTACAGTATACATCTCCGTTTTTCATTACACAACTTACAAATTCATATATAATATATAATTCTAATTTTTTTTAATGTTTGGTTATTATATTGTAACATATTTCCTAATTTATTATAGGAATTGTTTCTTTTGAGCAATATGTATCGAAAAAATGATATTAATTTTAAAAATTTTGTGACTTTTCTTATACTTCGTCGATATTTTTTTTTACATTATTATCTCAAACTTACATCCTTTTGTTAGTCATGCTGAATTTATATTCAAGCCGACGTAATGCTGTTATAAAAAAATTAAATTAAGGCGATTGCTTTTTTTATGAAAATATAAATTTAATTCTCCAGAGTGTAAGAAGCTTTGTTGCAGCTGGACGAAGCACACGTACGGCTTTATTCATCGCGTCAAGCCATCTATTAAACTAATCTAGACAATCGAAGGTCATCGTAGTCGTATCGAGGCAATCGACAAGGCCGTTCTCAGGAATCGACAAAGGTTACAGATCGCGAGAGAACGCTGCAGTCCCCGACAACTCGATCTTGATAGTCTCGAAACACGAGATGATTCATTACTATGAAATGAGTCTACTGTGCAACTTCCTTATTATATCCTCGTGTTGGTGGATGGAAAATTAGTAGCTTTTCAATTATTAAATATCTTTTGGCGTAAAAAGCAAAAAATAATTTAATGTTGAATTGGAACGAAAACATTATACATTTCAAGGATTTCAAGGAGTCACTTGAATAAATATGCTCATTAGCTATTCTCTTATATACGTTTTACAATCGTTAGTAGCACACGATTTTCTCATAAGACTTCCTTCGTTGCAAAATCGCATCGCGAGCAGGAAGCTGAAGGCACACCGCAATGTGTTTTAATGATCCTTTCGAAAGCCGCATACGTTAGAAAATAGTTGCGAGGACAAAAGGTAGCGGATACATAAAACAATTTTGCGAGCCTTTAAACTAGTCTTCATATACAGTAAACTATAACCTATAACTTCAGTAGACTAAACGTCCAGCTGTAACAAAGCTTCTATAGTTATATTTATAACTTCTTAAAAAAGTTGTTAGAAGACTGTTAGAAAAGTTGTTGTCTTACAATTATAAAAGAGAAAATCATATTCTTTTTTAACAAATATCAACATAAAAGTAATTATTTTCACTTAAAAAAAAGTCAACTGGTCAATAATTATACGCGTCAATAACATCAGCATTTATTTTAACTGGAATGAAAGGTTAAATCGAGTAGGCGGCAAGCAAAAGCACGATTTTAATCGTGCATTGCAAGATCGAAGCATCACGAAGAAGAGTTTTATCGAACACTTTCGCTCTTAATTCCGTAAAGGGCCAGCAAAACGTAGCAGTGTTAAATAAAACATTGTCGGCATGGAATTTCTTTTTTTCGAAGCGCGGCACGTTTCGATTTCTTGACGGCGAGGTCACCGGTGTCAATTCACGAGACAATGTCGGAATGCGACTGGTAATGAATGCAACGGTAGGTACCTTATTTGTATCGCGCGATCGGCAAGATACATGTTATGCTTGTAACAAACACAACTGTATTGTTGAACACACAGGTATGCCTGTGGTTAAAAATTGATCTCATATTTTAACGTTCATATTTCATACATATCTTGCAATGAAGCTTTACAGTTTAGAAAAGATCGCAATATGCGCTACAAATCGTACAAAAAGAGTAAGTAGACACAAAGATGATCAAAAATTTACAGAAACGCATTTTAAATTGCGCCTACAAGATATCTACTTTCCATTGTGCCAAAACTGAAATTTTACGAATAAAGAACAATTAAATTATTTTGTACACTATTATAATGCGTGCAAACGTGGTTATACATAGGCTTGCTTTTAGTTTGCAAGATTATAATGTACAGAATTGTTCGACCGCACCAGTCCTGATAAGAAATCTACATAGGGAGAATAACGCTGTACTTGGCTTTCTTGACCGAGCACTTTCATCCGATTTCGGAATGTTTTTCGCCTGTGCAAGGCTCTTGTTTCGCAAGAGGTATTTTATTTATAGTTGCTGTGTATACGGTGTCCTGGATTAAGAAGAGAGCGGTCAGCGCGCGCGGCAAAACCGCTCACATCTCTTGAATACGCTCGGCGTTAAATGCGCGACGGCGCTATGGGATATGACCTTAATTATGCGCTTAGGTGAAAAGCGATTTAATGCCCCGATACGCATATAAAAAACTCAAGAATCCGATAATGGTCGCACTCGAGTGCTCTATAACATTATTCTTATCGTCGATGACTTGCGATAAGATAAAACTTCGTGATTTGTTTGCCGCCAAACAGCATCCGGTGCTCATTACATTATGGACTAGATATATAATTACGTAAACAATTTATTTCTAAAAGATATCTATTACTTCTTATATTAAATACCGTATTTATATAGCAATTATTATGAAAGTAAAAAGCCAAACCACATGCTGTACGAAATTCCTTGTAATGATTGCGTTACTCGTTAAAAAGAAGGGATTACATCAACCGCGCGGAAGTATATTTTCGTCGAAAAGCCAAGGAAGAATGGCGCTTAAATCGATATTATCGCCGAAAGTGAAAGTTCGGCTACGTAGTGAATTGTCGAGTAGGGGGTATTCGGTGGAACAATGACAACCGATCTCGCGTACCTTTCTAACGAGCTGGAGATTGAACGTTACGTGACAAACGTAATGCAAATTACTTCATTGAATATTTACATCGATTACAATCATGGAATTAAACCCAATAAAAATATTTTAAATATTCAATCGAGCACGTTAAAAATAGAATTAAAAATCGACAAAAAAATTCATTGTTCAGCAGAGGATCCATCTAAATTAGTATATCCTTACAGAAAAATACTCAATTATTATTTAAAAATAAAATATCGAGATATTATTTATATCATGTAATTCCTAGTACAAAATTATCAAGCAGATTATCAAGCCATTAGATGTGACCTCGTAGTGGGTCTATGTCTTATCTGTTTGACTAGAAATCATGTTACTATATACGAAGTTACCACCAGCGGAATACCATTGCTAAATTGTCTCATGTTCTTCGCTTGTTAGTGCGATTCCTGACAAATTGTGTATCGTGATGGTAACATAGATTAGA